GTTTCCTACCCCTCAGGTCTATCCCACATGTTTCAGCAGAGCTGTGTGGGGAGCTTGAGGCATCAATGTTTTTGGTTTGAAATGTGTGTGAGACTCCTGAGGCTTTTGTTGAGCTCCACAGTCATTGTCAGTCTGCATCTCTAGAAGGTCTGCATGAAACAACAAGCAAATAAGGCAGCAAGGTGGAGTTGCTCCTGTCTGGGGGTACAAGAGATACACCAAAGGCCCCTGGGTATGTCTTCCAAGATTCTCCATATTCATCACCGTTCATGAGCAAGTACATGGGCTCCATACTGTCAAAGCACTCATCCTTTGACCCTGGAGGTTGTTCTGCATCACAAGCAGCAGTCAGTTGGTGTCTCGAGGATGGGTGTGGGCTGAGTACTGTCTGTATTTTAGGCCAACAGGCACTGTGCTTGCTACTGCTCTGGGCAGAATATCATATTTCTTACAGAAGACCAGCGACCTAACCCATTGAGCAAAATGCAGCTAAGCCCCTATTAGATATCACACAATGATTGCATTAATATAATCTGAAAATATGGCTTGGGGAACTTTTCCATGTTATGAAACTCTAGCTTGAGAAAGCCTTTTCCTTCCAGTGGTTGTCTCACTAGAATTTAGTACGGTGATTCCTCACTTGACAAGCTAAGGGCTATGGAAAAGGCAGAACTGGTCATTACTGCCCCATGTTTGGGTCAGCTTCGAGCTGACAGATTGCAGGGTAGAGGAGTGACAAGCAGCAGAGAAGGCTGCAAAGGGGGTCTCTTTGAAAATAAGCTGTCAGGGGTGTGAGTGGAGGCAGAGCTGCAGCTGGTGCTGTGAGGTTGCAGCAATGAGGGCAGTGCCCAAAGCAAACTTCTTCATGAGGCAAGAAAATAAGGCATCCATCAGGATTTGCAAATGAGGTCCTTCAGGAGTGTTTTTCCAGCATGTTTAAACTGTCAATAAGTGTATGGAAAAGCTGGACCCTATTTCCAAACTGTAGCACTCAAATGAGGGAGTAATGCAAAATAATTTTGGATGTGTGTGTGGCAGTGCTCTTACATAAAAGCTGTGACATGATTAAGAATATCTAATTTCATGCCTGAAGATACAGATGAAAAAGCTGCACAGCAGCACCCTCTGAAGAGCTGAAAGGAAGCTCATAATCAACCTACTTTAGTCACTATTTTCTTTTCTAGGCAGATATTAAGAAAGTGAGGAAAAATTCATGCTATAAGAAAGACATAGACAAAATACCTCCATATCACTATTGCTAGGATAGACACACACATATAGATACTTTTTTTCTGTGTTACTGGACTAAAACAGGAATAGCCCAGGGACCAGAGACTGGAAACCAGAACTCATCTATAATACAGTTGTTGAACTGCAAAGCTATCAGTCCCAGAGTTCTCTTCTTATGTCATTAAACTGCACTGATTCATGTAAGGGCTTCAAAAGGAAGGTGGACAGTTTTGCCACACATCCTGTGTCAAATCCCAGTGCCTGATAGCACTTGATGCACTCTCCTGGGAGCCACAGGCTTGAATTCCAGTGATGGTATGGGATACAGGCCCTTCATCTCCTAAACCACATCAATTTCTTCACTACAGAAGTTAAGTACTATTTTCAATTAAAACAAAAATGGAGTCGCTGTAGTGCCATTTTCCAGGAGCCCTATTTGAATAGCTTGCACAAAGCCTGCTTTGAATCCATTCCCTAGATGTTCTTCAGGGATTTACACCTCATTCTACCTAGCTCCTGAATTTCAGCATGGGCAAAGCACCTCATCACTCACATCAAGGCAGTTCAGAGAAAGCAAAGAAAAATGCTAGCTTCTAGAGAGAATTTGCAAAATGTGAAAATAAAATGCCTACAAATTTTGGATAAGAGAATTTTTCTTTCAGATGGCTTTTTGGATGTACAAGTTTAAAGTCAGCCTATGTTCTGTTTATGAGAGACACGTAATTATTTTAGTGTGTCTTCTCCTTTCTGAAGCCGTCTATAATTCTGTACATTAAACATGTTATTCACTGACTCTCCATTACTTATACTTAAAAAAACCCACAGTTTGCAAGTGTGAGTTCTGAATCTGGTTTTCATAACGCCTATGAGTACTGTGATGCAGTACCTGCTAGAAGTGATTATAATTCCATATTGAAAATGAGCATACTTTGCCAAGAAAATAAAGTCAAGGATTTACTAAGAGACAAATTTTTTAATAAATATGGAAATTAAATGTCTAGGTTATTCTCATGCCATTACTGTGCGACTGACTGCACAGCTGGAATAGAATAGCCCCTCTTATAGTACAGAAGGCATGAAGCTACTTTCATTAACATCAGTCAAGGTCAACCTCCAATGTGCGGCAATTTTATATTGTAACTAATATTGCATTATTATAATTAATTTTAATAAATTATAACTGAATAAAAGTTAACCTATTTGTCTTGATGATAAATAAATTTAATAAACTATGCATAATTTTTATTGTAAATCATATCGTGGTTGAATGCTGAACTTTAGTCCTAATAATCTGCTCATAATACTTTGTGTAGATCTTAGCCAGAAGCTGCTAATTAGTAGCACTGCCATCAGTCAGATTCAGTCAGATCACATGTGTCCTCCCTTACTGCTCTGTTTAAGCCTTGGTAATATCTGAATGCAGATATGATGCTACTATATATTCACTCTGTTAGATTGACTTTACTGAACTAATAGAATAAAATATAGTATGACATGGCAGAAGAAGTAAAGACATAAAAAAAGGCGTGAAATCAAAGCATTCCTTCTGGATGATTTTCTGAACCCATCCAAGAAGTGAGTTGGTACTTCTATAAGTGTGTTGGAAGAGAAGAATGGACGGTCTATGCAAAAGGTGATGGAAAATTGATAAATCCTGGAAGAGAGACTGGAAACAAAGTTCTAAATGCATAAGACTTTTTCTTTTTATGGTTAAAGAGATAAGAATATGTGTAAGAAATCAATGACAGGATTGTTTTTAAAAACCATTTGATTACTGTTAGTATTTTTTACTAATGATACTACTGTGTTTAATCTTAAGATCAGAAGGAATTACATCTGAATTTCTGTCTAAAATAGGTTTGTCTCTAGAAATCCAGAACACTAAGGTCAAACCCAAAAATGACTGAGAGCCAAATTCTGAGAAATTCACAGGACAACTTAGGAAACAATAGGTCAAATAAATCCTGCTGAATAGCCAATCCTGAAGTGTACCAGTTGAACCTTTTCTGGTTCATTTTTTATCCCTGGGTAGAAAGCTTTCCCCAAGAGTAAAATCAGTATTTAAGCTTTTTACAGCAGTATCTCTGGCATTCTTGACTCCTCTGGAAATTTATGTATCACATCTTTATTAAATTAGAAATACATGTTGAATTGCTTTTTTTTAAGTAAAATTTAACTCTCTCAGAAGTGAGATGTTCTTCTCTTAGTTCATGAGGTTGTTGCAATATTGAAACTGCTGCTATTGCATGTGCCAGAAAAGGCCCAAACACATCTCTGATGTCATGCAGGGTTCACCACTCATCTTCTTGGCTCCTGGGCTCTGACAGCACAAGAATGGCCCAGCTGAGCCGGTACTAAATGGAGGCTTTTACTGCAAACATTCCCCTGTATTTCTCTGACTTTCAGGACTAAGTTCCTTCATTCTTCACTGGTAACAATTGCAGCTCTGTCCCCCAGCAAAATCCTGCTTTAATTCAAGAGTCAAAAAAGGATATGCTCTGTGTTGGGGACTGTTTACTCATTTCTGAGAAAAGACGGGAATAAAGGGGAGGGGTTATCCCCCGTGGCATTTGCCACTTCACCACAGGAATCCCTGTCCCTGTGTTTTCAAAAACATTGCTGATTTTTGAGGTTGTGGTGCTCAGAACTTCCCTGGAGAATGTAAACACTGGATAATGACAGCTTTAGGTAACAAAAACAATGCCTAATAGGCAAACTGGGTGGCCAGCCTCCAGAAAGGGAACACAGACACAGCCTGCAGAACTCCTGCTGCAGCTGTACTGCACCTTCAGACTAGACAGTCAAGAGCAGTAGTTTGCTTATTTGACTCTTTTATTGTCCTGCTTCTGTCTGTTCCTGCTCAGTTATCACTCACTTTTATTTTCTAGACTTTCTTGTCCAAATGGCTCCAGGTAACTTACGGTGCATAAGCTATGGTAATCATGAATGCAGAACATGAAGGGTGTATGGTGAACAGCTGATGTGTATTTTCCTTTTCAGGGGTCAAAAAGCACATGACAAACATTCATTTGCTACATCTCATGCAGAATCCCTCTGAGGAAGATGTCACGTATGTTAAACCAGCAAATTAGCAGTAATATCTCCCTATCAGTCAGGAAGAAGTTTTATTTTTTCCCCACACACATTTGCAGTTAATGTTTAACTGTGATTTTCATGATTTACATTGTACTTTACAAAATCTTCCCTCATTTTTCAAAGCACAGAGAGAGCCCTGTTTTTCAGATTTGCATCTGACAACATTAAAATTCACCGTCCAGTAGTGTGGGAGAAAAAACCCCACATTTCTTAGAAAGTTATTGCTACAGTTTTCCACATCAGTAACTTCAATGGAGTGCTTCAGACCATTTTCTTCCTATTCTTTGATACTGAAATAATTTGATTTATCCCCATATTAAAAGCTTTACTGTGTAAATAATTAACCATATTTAGAAATATGCAGTTTTGTATCCTGTTCCTGCAGACACTAAGCATACAAAATTCTCTTTGGAGTTATTTGAGAACTTAGGATGCACTTCTGGGAGGTTATTCAAAGAGGTGGTGGAGTTTGGGTTTGGAGAAATCCAAAAGCCTTCTGGACATGGACTTGGGCAACCAGTTGTAAATGGTCCTGCTTGTGCAGGGGAGGTGGATGAGATGATCTCTAAAGGTCACTTCCCAGCTCACCCCTATTGCCACTATAATTAATGAGCAAGAATGCATATGAATGCAGGAATACAGGAGCATCTATGCACATCGAGGAAACAAACTGTTATTCATACTCAGTGAGGTTAAGGTAAAATTTACTCCCATTCTGGATTCAGATCAATATTTACAATTCAAGGAGCCTAGTGACAGAGCATCTAGTTAATAGGTTTTAAACAAAACTGGTTACAGTGATTACTTTGAAGTACAAACCAGCTGTCATAGGATTAAGAATGCACTGGGGAAAAAAAAATACAATTTCTGATTTTCATCCAGGTGTTCCTCACAATGTTGTAAAATAACCTTGATTTTAAGGCGAACAGAGTTTGCCAAAGAAAATAATAGTATTGGTAGGATTGTGTCGAATAAAGAATAGGAAAGGGTGATTAGCCATAAACATCTCTGTGATAGGCATAGACCTCCTCACAATGCTAGCTCCTGTACCAGCCGCTGCTACGGTGCCTTCCTCATTGACTTCCACATATGTCTTATGGACAACATTTGACAGCACCAGAGATTTTGCAAACGACATTGCAGAGAGGTCAACTTTTGATTCAGTGAAAATATCAGTCATCCCCATCTCTTGCAACACCTCATTGAGGTTAAAGGTGTCTTCGAGCTTGAATCGGGGGAGGTAGACCTCCACTGTTGTCTCAAACATGTTCTCTACAGAGGTCCACAGCATTAAGTTTTCATAGGTCATTGTGCTTTCAATCTGTAAGAGGGAGGAAAAAAGAGATTAAAATAGGTGGTCAGGTTTAAAAATTTAGATCTTTCCCCACTGTTAATTCAGACAATTAACTTTCAGCTTTAGCCCATGGTACAAACTGCCTTACCTTCTCCAGCCCATTGATAGATCCATCAGCCACGTCACCTGGCAGCAGGATGATCATGCTCAGTGATTTCTGAGCATAGGGGAGTTCAAGGATCTGAGCACCCACTTCCTCAATGTAGCCTAGTTTAAATGTGCCTTTCTGGTACATCATCTGCACGGGTTTTTTTCTGTTCTATTGAAAAGAAAATTATGAAGTCACTTGAGCAATACAGCCCTTACCAACACCTCTTCCCAACAGGAGAGGTAAGTTAAGTTCCCAAAACACTCTTACCTGAATAACGAGGCATCTAAGCCTTGGACATTGTGCTTTTGAAGTGATCACACTTTCTAGAGTAAATAATGTTAAGATTTACAGAGTGTAGATGTACCTGATTCAGTTTAAAATCTCTCTGTACTGTTTTTTGTTCCTCAAACTTGTGTTCCCAGGGTGCTTTGAAGTAGATTACATTCACCAGCACCAGCAATGCATGTCCATCAATCACACCAGGAGCAAAGAGTTCCTTGATTTTACCTAAAGGGAATTTTGAAATACGTAAGTATTTATTAGTTGTCATTAAGACTCTGGATTTAGACTCTTATAACTGGTCTGTGAACTTAGTTTTGGGAAAACTTAGGAACTTTTGGTTTATTCAAAGGACAGAAACAGTATAAGTAAACAAATGGTAGATTCCTCTGCACTGTCAGCAGCCAGGGAGGACAGGAGAACTGTGGGTCACCAAATTACCCAGCTGTCAGTGTCAGTGATCATACATATGTGCCAGGTGACATTTACCATGGCAAAGGAGACAGCACCATTGAACACCTATTTTGGTTTGCAGGAAGGCATCTTTCCCTTCCTACCAAGCACAGCATTTAACTGGCCATGGAGCTTTTGGCTTTCTACACAGAGGCTGAGGTAGGAGTTAGCAGGTTCACAGGCTTCATATCAGCACCCAGAGCAAGGATGGTTCCTAACCTTGTCTGAGGTGGCTTCTGAACTTTCAGCTCTCTTACTGGGAGCCAACTGGGGTTAATAGGTCTTTCCCACACCAGTCACAGGCCGTTCTGCTCATACAAGGACAGGCTTGGTCAGGAGATGGGCAACTGAGAAATTGCAGAAGCCGTCAGATCTATTTGCCTGTTCCCAAGGAAGTTCTGGTTTATGTTCAGCCAGAAGATTTAGAAAATTTTCATCCCATTGCTACTGCAGATCTGGCAAAACTAAAGGAAAATGGTAGATATCATGTTTAGTCTAATCAGCAAAAGCCAATGACCAGCTGGTCAAATGATGTCATTGGTGAGTCTTGGTGGTGTCATATCTCTCATCTTTGTGGGCATTGCTTTACATATAACCAGGTCCTCAGATGGGTTCTCTCCCCACCACCACTCTTCCTGGCTGTTCCCAGTCTCACCACGAATCTCATGGCTTCCATCCCCTGCTGTATCTGCATTTGTGGTTGTTTGCAGAAGCAGCTGGTCTAGTCAAGCCTTATAGGTATTACTTTAACTACCATGCCAGACATAAGGATGGGAATAAAAAAGTATTTGACAACAAACAAATTTTTAATTCAGAAATAATTTATCTGGTAACTTACTCTAATATTTCAAGAATGGATTGGAAGACAAACTATATTTAAACAGCATAAGAGTGAACACCCAGAAATGTAGACAGGTATTTGCTTTTCATATTCTGGAATTTCATTTGTTGAAGCAGTGTAAGAAGGCAGCGACAGTATGACAATGGTTTTGCTTTGTTTTACCTTGTGTCTCACTCTCAACCCAATCATTAATTTTTCTTCTGGCAGCTTCAACAGCACCATGAAAGTCCACTGTTTGCAGCACTGCTCCATACAGTTCCTTGGTACACCTTAGAAATTGCTGTAAAGTAAAATAAAGATTATGACTTGGTCATGTCTATTAAGTACTTATTCCCTTTGGAAATAAATCAATGGTTCAACAGTGTTTTAGAAATGGTGAGGGACCTGTTGACTCCATAAGGCAAAGTTTCATTTTGGAAACATCAACTATCTGAAGTTTATTGAGAGAATCTTTGAAGACAAGATAATTGTTCTATTGCATAGGCAAAAAGGTAAATAAGTAAAAAGAAAGCCAGAAGAAAGAGTCCTCTCATGGAGAATTGCACAACTGATGTCCAGATAAAAAAACAGGAAAGAGAGAAAATGTGAAATATGTTTGATGCTCAAGTATTGAAATAACTCCACAGAAAGAACTGACAGAAAAGTAAAGATGTGACTTGCAAGGTAGCCTTACCAAGTAACCTCAAGACCACTCTTCACTCAGTGAGAAAGGAGCAAGAAATTCAGGGCAGCAGCTCTGTACATGAACCTGTTCAACATCCCAGGTGATAAGCCCTCTCCAAACTTACTGCTGCCCCAGCTGTACCATTTGCAAGCCCAGAAGTAGGTAGTTTATAGACAGCTTGAATAGGCCATTTTTTTGGCTATCAGTTCACCCATGGCTGAGTGTGGACTTGTGCCAAAAGTGAACAACCCTCTGCTTTATTTTTGTTCTGTAGCCATTGATATCCACAAGGTGCTTGGGGTTTTTTTTAATAAAATAACTGAAAGTTCACAATCTTGTCTCTTTCCCACCAGCCCCAAGAGATACAGCTCCAAGAAGCACATTGAGTGCTCCAAAGCATACACAAGAGGGGCAACAGTGAGACTCGGTTACAGAGAAGCTTGAGGTCAGCCCCACAGCAGTTTGCAGGTACAGGTAACTTACCTGCTGGATTTCAAATCCTTGTTGTAGAAAAAGATTGTTGGCCAGGGTTAAAACATATCTTTCTCCAAGGTTTTGTAGTTGTAAAAGCAATGTCTGGAACTCTTTATGGTTAAGATCTCCATCCTTGTTACACTGGGATTATTAGAAACACAACAATTAAAATGATTCCTCTGTATAGCTTTGGTTGTTAATTTCCATCTTAATTAGATTACACTATAAGGCTGACTCCTGCTGAAGTAATTTTTAAATCCAGCTACTCCAAGCTTTGTGGCCTAATCCTCTTTCAGATGAGATCACGGAAGGCTTTGGTATTGAGTTATTGGAAGGTTTATCCCTTAATAAAATAACACCTTGTATCAGGCATTTCCTAGAGGATTTGGCAGACTTTGAGCCTGTGATCTTGACTCCCTCCAGTGGCAAACCAGTGCTTTACCCCTACTAACCTACCTCACAGTGAAGACAGGGTTCCAGTGCTTCCCACCCAAGGACCCACCTGTGAGAAGGAAGGCTGCCTCTCCCGGCTTTCTTCTGGCTCCATTTCTGGGGCTGCATTATCTTGATCATGTCCAAGGCTCATTCCTCCTGCAGATTTCCTGACGTGGAGCACCTGTGGTTGAAGATGGCAAGGTATGGCAACTGTAATTTGCACTTAATCCCCCAAAATGTTACTCTTCACTACCTCAGAATGTTTATATTTGATTTGTGTTTCATTGCTACAGTTACATTAAATTTCAAAACAAAAAGTTGCCCCAAGCACAGAGATAAAAATAGTTTTCCTTGAAAACATCAAAACTGTATTCTTGCAACCATTCTTAATACTGGCATCAGATTAGGAAATATATCAAAACCATGGTGCTCTTAATGGAAACCAGTCCTTGTTTCTAATGCACGAATATCTCACTGAAAAATTTCCAGCAGCTTCTCCATTACAATAATGTTGCATCATACATAGACTTACTCTCTTTTTATTTAGGATACTGATATTAAGCAGTCCCCATTTGTTTTCTAAAACAAGCAGCAGTCCCTGTGTAGAGGGTTGATGTTATGGTAGCCAGGGGGCTGCAGGCCTCTGTGTGAAGAGAACAGACTCTATATGTCAAACTGAGCTGGTTCACCCAGCTCCAAAATGAGTCAGGTCTGTTTTGCCATGACCCTAGTTGCCAAGTGATGTCCCTGTCCTTGCCTTGATCCACAACTTTTTCATCTTATTTTCTCTCCCTGTCCTTGTAGAAGAGCGGGAGTGAGAGAATGTCTGGATGGGCACCTGTCAGCCACCAGACAAGGTCAACCCACCACACCCTGGAAGCCTCATGAGGAGAGTACATCTACCTTGGCTTTGGGTGACCCAGCAGTCAGACTGTGCACACGGCAGTGTTAGAATATGATGCATTATAATGTAGCAGTACAGAGTCAGCTACTGACAAGAACTTTTGCCTTAAGATTTTTGGGGTTTTTACAACTCATGGGCTCAAACAGGAAAAGAGAAGAAAGGTTGTAGAAAGTAGAACTTGGCTTGCAGGGAGTAAAGGCACGGTGATTGAAGGGGTCTCTGTGAGGTGAGATATTTTGACTCTTGAATGTCATAAGTGACAAGTGAGCTAATGCTTCCAGCCATGCAGGTGCAACCACTTCAGGTTTCTGCAGCTCTCCCCACTGCCCACCCAGAAACACTTGGAGGATTCTCATAACACCCATGACAAGAAACGCTGATACATAATTTTGAAACAAAGTCTGATATTCTGACAGCAGGCTGGGGACAAGCCAGAGTGCCCCACTGTGCTGTACCACCTCCTTCCATTCAGCCCTTGCTCCTTGCTCTTGCATGAGGGTACGAGAGATTCACACCAGCAGATGGCAAGGATCATAGTGAACCAAGCACAACAGTGAAGGCAGCATCTGTGCCTGCATCTGTGCAGGTTTCTTACGAGACCCTTGCACATGTGTCGTGCTAAAATGCCCAACATTTCCATTAAGGGAACAGCAAGAAATGTGGAAGCATCTCGGCATGGTTTGTTAATACTTACTTTTTCTATCTGAGCAGCAGTGTTGTTTCTTGCACCTAGATGGATCAGGGCCAGGGCAACAGAGATACTCATTGGAGAGAAGACTATATTTGTGTCCTCTGCATTTCTGTTGAGCTTATTGTAGAGATCAAGGCAAAACTCAGTAACTGGTCTAGAAATGGAGTCCATCATGAAGCTTCTACTACCTGGGAGCACAAAAGAATGAAGGAATTTAATGCAGCTTGTCTAGCTAGATGCTGTGAAGCACCTGTCTGCCCTGAGTTTATCCCATAGCTGGTTGCTAAATAATAAAAGTTTTCTAAATTCTGAGAGTTCGAAACAGCCAACATTGCACATATTTGTCAGTCTATAATGCACAGCAGTAGCAAGGACACAGAGGGTCTGCAAAAGGGACCCACACTCCCAGAGGGTCCTCAGAAAGGACCCTTTTTCTGTCTTATCCCATGCTATGTCTTATTTCAGCTCATGGTATTGAAACCAGTCAGCTATGGATTAATGTTTTCCTTCTTCAAACTGGTTTGATGGACATAGTTGCAACAACTCTTTCCTCTTTTAACAGTGTACAGTGACAGAGACTTGGTGACAGAAACTGATGCCTGCATATAACCATGTGTGGTAACAACAGAGAGGCAGTATGAGGGTTTCAAGCAACAGGTTTATAAAAATAAAATCACTATTAATTGAATGTTTTCATACATCAAAAAGGGTAATTACAGCTACGGAGACTGAACAACATATGGAAACATTAACAGCTTGAAATACACTTTTTCAGCTCTCGTGAGTTTTCCAGGAGGCACAGATTCAGGCAGGATACACAACTAAAGTAATAGCTTAAGAGTCCTGAAAAAAAATTTTAAGTTCCTGCTCAATGATATGACAAGATCTGTGTCAGTCTCTTCTTTTGTACTAGAAACATTACAGTCTGATACCTTTCCCATGGGTCATTTACTTTCAATTCACTCTGCTAAGAACAAGATAGGACCACCTTCAGCTTGGTCCTTGCAAGAAGGAGACCGTGAAGAAAAAGGGGGTTATAAACTCCTTTCCTGAATCTTAGGAGAACTGTAAAGGTGTTGTGTGGATATGAGTGGGATCACACAAACTTTTATGGAATCATTATACCAAAAAAACCCACAAAACCCAACAAAAAACAAACCACTTCACTTTCAGTGTCAAACAAACAATATTTTGAACAGCACATCATAAAAAAATGTATGAAAAGCAAAGCATGCACTCCTGCCTTCTTGCAGACATAGAGCTAGGTAACTATGGTCTCTGTTTCAGAAAGATGATTTATTTAATGAAAAATATATGGCCACAGTATGTAGAGAAGTCCTTCATGTCTCCCATGGCACAGACCTGGCTGGCTCTCCCTTTCAGTCTGCACTGGAACTAGCATGGGTCAGGTCCATAGCAAGCTGCCAGAACTCCTCTCCATTTTAAGAACAAGTGAGTGCTCAGCCAGGTGGTTGTGCCCAGTGCCCACAGAAGGCCATGGCACAGCAGGCAGGCCCTCCTTCTCAGCCCTGTCTGCCTGGCTGCTGCAGCCTGCTAGGCGAGGTTACATGGGGAGCTCCAGTCTGTGTCACCGGAGGTTAAGGATGGGGAAAGGCTTGTGAAAAGCTGAACTTCAAGATCTTTTATCAGCAGGGGCTTTATACAGCTGGTCCTGGGCTGTCACTGCCCCTCTGAGAGTGGTTTAGAGCCTTCATGGGAAATGTTGCCTGGTGCTGGAGACCTCTATCCCCTTTCAGCCAATGCTCTCCTGTCACCCTGCTCTCCCAGTGAGGCCCCAGTTCTTCAACCTCAGCCACAGCTCCCCCATCTCACAGAGACCCTGCCCTTTACAGAGTTTTTCAGAGCTACTCAAAAGGTCTTGCACTGTTCTTAAGATGCAGGGTGCAGGCTACCTCTTACTCAGCCATGAGCCAGGCATGAATTTTGCATGAGAAGCTGGAACTCAGGTGCCAGAAGAAGTTGCCAGACCGTTGGGTGTTGACATGGCTCAGCCAAGATGCAGCATCTGTCTGTGCAAACCACCTTAGCCCTCAGCAAGTGCCAGACAACGGGAACGAACTCAGCCCACAGAAAACCAAACTAAGTCTAAGACAGATTGCTGCAGAGGCTTGGAAGAGCTGAAAAGTCAAGTTTCTGAATACATGAAGGTGTAATGTGTGGCAAATGCAGACACTTCTTGCCATTTGACAAGCTAGAAAAGCACAGCAATAATGAATGCTTTGTCCTGTTTCTGAATGACAAAAAGAACGTGTGATGCTGAAAGAAAAAGTTCATAAATGTTTCATACTGAGACATTTGTTTTACCCTGAAGTCCAGAAGTACTTCACATAGGGTCCAGAAGTACTTCACATACAAATGGAGAAAGCAGAGAAGAAAGACCCAAGAGGTTCTCTGCACAGAGAAATCAAAGATCAGTTTTATCTCATTAATTCTGAAAACAGTAATTCTAGCTCTGCTTTTTGTGTCTTTGTATGAAATATAGTTTTCATTTTCCTTTTAGTAGTGCGGTCATCTTACCACAAGACATTGCACTGAATAATCATTTATCTTTTCTTTCACCTTCATATCCTACTATTCAGAAACTTCTGAAAAAAAAAAAAAAGCCCTCAGTGCATCTTTGGTTCTGAAGTTATTATTGCTCTACTTCTACAATTCTTGAAAGATCTGAAATGAAGCTGTGAAATCACTCACGGTGAATGTAGGCCATGAGACATATTGTAGGTGTGCCCAAACTTCAGAATAAGTCAGGGAGAAAAAAAGAGTTAATAAACTTACTCAGTGGGAAGGAGGCACCTCCACCCCACCCTGCAGGGAAAGGACTGCATACAAAGAATGGAGGGAGAGCCCAGGATCTGAGAACAGGTTTTAAAAGCGAGTGCCTGGCATATTGAAGTGGCCACTCCTTTTGTGAAAGCAGTAGGCTGTCCTCCAGGTGCAAACACTACAGCCAACTCCACGGTTTTGTGAGTGGGAACTACTTAGAGAGCTGCCCTAGAAACCCAAAGGAAGGGGAGGGAAGTATGGGCTGGTTGAGGTTCTTACTGAAGATTTAAAGGATTTAGTGAGCTTTCATAATCTAAATTGGGGTGAGAACAAGTGTATGAATGATTCCACACCATTAAGTCTTCTGTATAATATCTATGTAATAATTCAATTAGAGTTTTGGAGCTACTGCAAGGACCGTGGCATTTGGAGAACATCTACATGGTGCACAACAAATGGTAATGCTACTTTTAAATAATCTTGGGGTGACAAGGAGGGACAATATTAAGAGCAAATTAAGTGTTGCAGGAAGATCCTAGCTGCTGTTCTGCACTAGCCAAAGCATCTGCACTGGGCATGATCAATAGCGCAGAGACATTGATGAAGGGAGATGCTTTGCACAGTAGTTCATCAGCGTTTAACACAGTCTAGCAGATGGAAATTACCGGTGCTGCTGTATGTGTGCAAAAGCCACCCAGAAAAACATCTTCCTTCAGAAGAAACCACTGCACACCACAGACCTTGCAAGGATGACAAACTTCTTCCATACCTGTGTGAAATGACAAGCACTTCTCTATAACTATTCATGATCTGTTCTCCCTTTATAGTTTTGGTTTTGGCTAAGGGTAAATGAAATCAAAATTAAAATTATCAAAGGTTAAAAAAAAAAACCTGTGCTCAAATCCATCATAATTATTGGGTGTATTTAGATTATATTATTCAATCAACAGAAGGAGGCAGTAAATAGGGCAGAGAGGCTGAGAGGTGTAGCCTTGTTTTTAAGGTAATTCTGTATTTCATACAAGGTAAAAAAGAAGGAACCCCTTTCCCTGATGCCACATGGTACTTCCTATTGCATGTTTTACTTATTCAACCTGCTTTCCATTAAGGTGCTTTAATACACATTCACCTCTCATACACAAAGGAAGACAGAATAGGCAGAAATTACATGTGTCTATCCTAGAAAAAGACCACATGACAGATAGTGCTGTTTCCTCACACGAAAATTGGTAGAAGTTACTTTCTTATTTTTGATGGTCATTCTTACAAAAAGACAATTCCAAGTGTTTCTGTGTTAATTTGGAGAGAAAGGGACAAAAAGCACATAAGAAAAATTAAACTTCCTATAACACAGAAATTCTAATTATTCCTAAGTGACACAAAACATTTCCAAAGTAACATATTTTAAATTAAAAAACAATACATTTCAGTAAAAAACAGCTTTTCAAGCAAAATGGTGCCAATTTCGTTTTCCAAACAACCCAGACTCTCAGGATGCTACTTTTATGCCAGAAAGCTTTTCTACTGACTGCTTTTATTAGTTGGAATCAGTCCCTCCAGTATCTTCTACACCTCCTTCTAGGCTAATTATTTCTGCATAAACAGATGTGGATGTACATTGGCATGTTGCAGGCTGTACAGTGGCAAGTTATTTGCTGTGCCTGTGTGCAGCTGCACAGGCAAGCTTCTGAACATTGTTGCCAAACCCAGGAGCTAATATTTTTATGGCTAAGACTAGCATCCCCACTAGCAAAACAAAATCTGAATACCCCTCCACTCTCCCTATTTTATAGTCATTGTTTAGGAACATAAACAGTTTTTCTGGCAGGTGGGATCAGGGTATCAGGGTACAGGGCAAATGCCTAAGAACCCAGTTAAAGAACTGCATGCCCTCTCTCTCATCTAGTGAATATTTCAAGGCTTTTTCTTGTGCCATGGAAACCTGAGAAAAGAAGGAAAATTAACATATATCTCCCACTCTGTGGGTGAGTTTGCTCAGGTCATCCGCATCATCATTTTACATGAAGCCCATTTCTGCCAGAGTAGGTACAGGTGCTCTGAAGGAGTCTGACCTTCACCCTTTCTGGAGATAAAGGCAGAAAAGCATCTACTTTCTTGTATAAGCCACTGAGCTCATCAGTCCTGCAGAAATAGATCATAGTGGATTAACAGAGAGGTTCTGGGGAAATTTCAGATTCAAAAACCTATGAAATTTAGGCAAGAATCTTTAGACTGATAGCTTTGGGCATGTGTTCCTAAACTCCTCATTCATGTCCCACAGAAGACCAGCTCCTTTGTGTAAGCCACCTGAATTTCTGCAGTGTTTTGCTGCCTTCAGCCTGTAAACCCTCTCTGTTCCATCTGTAAACATGAGGTTTACTTTGCCAGCCTGTAGACTACTTTGGATCTGCCAAAAAAAAAAAAATCACATTATTTTGAGGGGAAAAAACAACAAAAACAACATAGAATTTTTACCTTCTTGCCTGAAGAGGTTAAACGAATAGCACAACAGCTGAGCTCTGGAGCACGTTCCTGTGACTACCGTATTACAAAAATCTCCCACTCTCTTGTTCAGTCTCTAACCAATTGCTGCTGATAGCAGCATGTTGCAGTTCAATGTGAATGCCATCAACATGAGGTTTCCTCACAGAAGACTGGTAAACCTGCATCTAGCAATATGCTATTAGCACTTCTCTCAAGGCTGCCCAACAAGTTTGGCAGGCAATATCTGCTGGCAACACCTCCTGATTGCAATGCCAAGTCACCCTCATCTGGAAAACTGATTGTTAACCCTGGAGATCCATGGCTGCACTGCAATGAGTAGTCCCTTTAAAATTTGATGGGCTCTGGCCTGGACACAGGTGTTTGCATGCCAGGATTGTTTGGAACTGAGCTTGCTTGCAGACATGAAGCAAACGAATGGGAAATGCATGAGCTTTATGTTGCCTACAGTCCTCTCTCTCTCAGGTAAGGAGTCAGTTTTACAAGCATGGAAGGAGCTTAATTAGAGAAGGGAAGAAGTATTTCCTTTAAGTGTAACAGGAATCCCCAGCCAGGAGGTATTATTTTAAATCCTTGGAGCTAAGAATAAAAGAAAGCCAGAAGTGGTTGATCACACAGGTTAAGTCTCCAGTATAAGGTGAGAAGAAATTGAAGAATGGGAAGTATGAAGCTGCATCAGCAGAGTGTTTGATCTCCCCTAAGCAGCACGACTGAGCTCAGTTGCAACACTGGGTTATGGCAGCTGGTCTCAGAGATCAAAACTGATCTAGGGATGTATGTAGCTTTGCAATCCTGAAAATTTTATGTCTTTCCTTTCTCACCTCTTCTTTCTTCCTACAAAGTACAAAACTGGCTTTGTATTCGTACAGTCTTTGAGGAATCAAACAAACATGGTAAGCAGGAAAGAGAAAGAAGGTTGCCCAGCATCATCTTGCCCTTCCCGCTGTTTCCTCCTAGTGCTGAAGCTGGACCAACCTCTTCCTTAGGCACAGCTCCCATCAGCTTTGCTGTTCCCTATTCCTCTGCCAAGGTCTCAGCCCAGCTGGCCAGGCTCCAGTGCTCTCTTCCAAAAACTGGCATTTGTAAGCAATGCAAGACACAAGGATAAAATAAGTGTTCTTGTTACCTCTATTCTTTTCCTTGCTTTTTTGCTTTTATTTGCCATAAACTTCTTTGTTTCTGTTTTTCCTTCCTCCATGTTTCTGTAGTGCTCCTTAGTCTTCCTCCTCTGGTCTTTCTTTCTCTATTTTTAAAACTTATTTATTTATGCACAGTGCCTTTTTGTGTATCTTGTGATGCTTTTGTGAGTCCTAGCCTCTTTTCAGTGACAGTCCAAGTGTTTTTTAGTATCTTGCAAGACTTTTTTTCTTCCAACCTCTGTGCTTTCTCCCCTCCTCCTGCATTGATATCATTCCTGCACTGATTCATTTTACTTGCTATGCCATATATTCCCTCAGAACTTCCTTGACATCAGCTTAACTGCTTTGCCTCGGGAAATGTCAATGTATGTGCAAATTCTGTCTTTTCTAGGCCCTTAGGACACTACATTAATGAAAGTGTCCTGCTTTTCCAGTAAGACAAATTGTCTATACCTTGCATTTTTCAAGTTTCAAGTCCAAACTGCTCTTCTCCTCAAACAACTTTTGCTACCACCAGACATTAAAATGTAACCTTTCTCCTTAGCCAAATGTTAGGAGCAGGAAGTGGGCAATGAATGTGCAGATGAGCAAGTGATGAGATGACTAGGCACATAACACTACAGTTTGCAACTGCCTGCCAAAGCCAGCCATGGCTTGCTTTTTTCCATCGGGGGCATCATCCATCACAGGATAGTAATGCTCTGTTGAAAGCTGAGGTGGAGCACCTTTTCAGTCTGAACAAGTCCTCAGCTATGTTCACTCTCTCCATTGTAACCAACACCTTTCAGCGCATAAGTGTTGCTATACACAAACTCCCACACACGTTTTCCCATGTCCTCCCATGAGACTTCTTGCCCAAGGCCCACAGGGGTGTTCCAGCATGGGTGGAACAAACAATGGACTGTAACATGGTTCTCACACCAGCAGGAGCCTCATGGATACTTCTCCCTGAGGAGAAGTGCTGCAAGATGAAAAGGCTTCACACTGGGACTGGTAGAGAGAAGAGGTAGAAGTGAAAAATGAAGAGTTTCACGGGCAAGGCACCCTGATTATAAATGACTAATAAGGAGGTTTGCCTTATGTGGGCTAAGACAGCTTTGTATCTCTAACATCTGCTTGCCTTGCACAGGCTGGGATACCTTGATATTAGTCAGGCAGTGGAGAAAGAATGGGCCCCACCCTAAGGCCGTGTTTCACTCTGCTTTCATGGGATCACCCTTCCTGGCAAAGCTATCACCAGGAGAAGACATGCTTACATAAATTTTTGGGGATATGCCAAATGCTCTGATCAGCATTTAAACAGAATACAACCTCTATTAAATGAAGATTGGCTCCTGAAACAGAATATTTTGAGAACCTGAAAAAGCTTTGGAAGTGATGTCTGAGCTTTTCTCCTGGATGAGCTTTTCTCCTGAGTAAATCTCATCCAGGCATAAAAAGAGAGATGGGTAATCTGCCAGAGGTTTTCATCAGTCTAGCAGACCAGCAGTAAGCAGATGTAGCAGTAAGCATGATATGGCCTGCTGAACAACTGGAACTACCTGACAAAGAGTCAGTGCCCAAACACAAACTGCGCAGGCTGGAGGCAATTAGTCCATCTTGCCTATGCACAGACCACCTGTGCAGCTGCTTAATCATCAATCCCATGCACAGTGTCCTGACATACCTCATACAGGAGAACCAGTAGAAACCATCGTGACGAAATAGCCCTGGATGAATCTGACCCCAGCCTCCAAAGCAGATCAGACCATGATTGGGTGTATCAATCATTCCCAGTCATTCAGGTATCACTGAAATTGAGCCAGTAAAGATCTTTGCAGGTAATTTCTTCTTGCACAGGATGGGCTGCACAGTAATTTTTATATTTTTCATTCTTCTGACTACTATCCATGTATCAAGATACCTGACGCATATCAGCAAAGATCCATAGAGGTCTGCAGGGTCTCACTTCCCACTGTTTTTGGTGGAAGTTAGTCTCCTCAGTACCCACAAAGACCCCAGTTAACCTCTGGTACCAAAGACCCCAGTTAACCTCTGGCATTAAAATGCATTAGACCCACTAAAGGTCCACAGAGGGAAGGAAACAGATAAAGCTACTGAATCACCGTGACCGAAAAACTACTGAATCATTGTGAAATCCCTCATGGGTTGATAAGAATCAAAACAGTCTCTAAATTCTCAATAACCACTGCACTGCTCTCTGATGTGGAAAGTATGCATACTAGGGCTTGCCTGTTCCCATTTAGAAATCTCTTCTCAGTTTCTTTTGGACCTGAGGCACCAAGAGGATTTCTTAAGCAAAATGTTCCCATCTTTTGAGGATAGATAATTGAATTCTCTTTATATCCTGACAAGCTAGTAACATATTCCTTACTGGAAACTATTGTCATGTGGCCCAGAAGGGCAATCCAGACATTCACTTAGGGTTTTTTTCTTATTCTGACTTTGTGGCCTAAGTGAATCTGTTCATTGCCATTCCTATTATTTATTGGAAGTCAAGAGTGAACAATGGCACTGTCAGTGAACACAAAGACTGACACTGGAGGTAGTGCTCATTTGACACATTTTATAGTGTTTTATTCTGAACAGTAATTAGGTAAATCAGTACTAAACATATGCAGCAGGCAGTCTTTAGATAGAAATGCAATCTGATTACCATGATCTCATGTGGAATTTGAAGACTAGTAATTACAAAGTTAATTTCACTTAAGTTGAAGTCCTTATTTCTTTCTCGTGCTTCAGACGTTAAGTAACTGTAAGGAGTTTCCTTAATGCTGAATCCAGGACTAGAAATGGCAGATAATCTGCACATGTAAAGTGTGGCACTTCCAGTATTAATCCAACTGTGTTCTATCCTTGAATTGCATAACGTTCTTTTTCTTAGGATATATACAACAGGGCTCCTCGTAACTGTGCTGAATTTGTCCCATCTTCCATGTCTGAAGGGAATGAATGAAAAAAATACCACAGAGCAGAGTCCAACCTCCCCAGTCTGGGAAATGATGTAGCTCATGCTGAAGAGTCTTCTGGGTATAGATTATGTCACCATGATTTTTGCCTCTGGTGTCCACAGGCCTCGGTGTGACTGCTGTTTCACAGATGCAAATTCCGATGCCAGCCCGAATAGTTTAGCTATGCTGCAGAACTTGGGCACTGTTTCACTGAGCATTGGTAGGGTCTGGTAGGGCACCCCGGACTACCAGAGTGTAGCCAGGTAGAAGGGGAGAGTTTATCACACCGCATGTCCACAATTCTCCTTATAGGCAGTAGGAATCCAGAGAGTCTGGGTCACAAGGGAGAGTGGTTTGAATAGGGAGCAGGAATGCAGCCCTTCCTCTCAGAGCCCTTTCCAACTTCTGGTCTGTCTTAAATCAGGCTCTCAGTTCATTTCATTTTGGGAAAAAGGTGCCACAGAGGAAAAAACATTCTTGTTGCGAGGCTGGGATACTTCTCAATGAAGTGTTTTTCACAGCGGAAATCCTTCAGCTTAAGGGGATGAAACATAAGTAGATAAACTAGTTCTGCTGCATATGTAGAGTACATTGTATTACCCAGCCAATATATGAACCTCTTAGATTTCCTTTCAAAGATGATTGTCAGGATGACAAGCTTTACAGGAGAATGCACCATCATAAATGTAACTGTGCTTTTTCATAATGAATATGCCCTGCTTAGGGAGAACAGAACCGGCCTGTGAGAATCACATTGCGAGTTTTGTTATGTCTAAACAAAAAGATAAATGGATGGTCAGCTTTAAATTCATCTTTGTGTTGCAGAATCCGATATCCTGGTACCTCTCGGGAGTCGCCACCTTGTTCATTTACTTCCAAGGAGACTTTGTGGATGATCTTTGACAAAACCACACCTTTTGTCTCACACATCTCAGAGAAATCTGATGCACTTTCATTGAAGATATTTGTCATTCCCAGGCTTTGCAGAAGTGGCTTCAGGTCGTAGTCACCTTCTATGCT